ATTAAAATGTACATGTTTATCACAAAGGCTTACCAATACAATATCTACACTAAGTGTAGCTGCCAGCTACCTGATGATACATAGAAGTCTGTATGTACTGTGAATGAAAATACTATGCAATATCGCTCTATATAATGTACATTATGTATATCTACCTTTCATGTTTATGATTACATTTTCTCCCAAATGCAGATAGTTTGTACCTGCGATACACGGGTGGTCTGAACAATGAAATTCTTGATTCTTGATTCAAAGGGCACACTACAGATGTTGCACCATGACAAAAGTGATCAAATGACATCAAAACCATATTTCATAATTTAAGAAAATACACTAATTCAAGTTACATAGCATAGAAGATAACAAAGAAATGGGAGATTCGAGACAGAGTTGACAACACAAACAGCATCAGTTTCGACATCAACTACAGCAACAACCTGTACAGCAACAAGGTCATAGTTGACCGCTTCCCCTTGACATTCCCCCAAATGTCTGTCGACTCTTCCCCCAGCACCTCGGCATCTTCAGACAAGGGGGCACTTCAGTGGCTATACTGATGCTGACAACATGACCTGAATATCTGATACAGATGGATGCTACAGATAAGAGCTGTTTGTCTTGTTGAACTGAGACGAGAGACCAACAATCACTCGGAGTGGATGGCTCGAAGATCATGGCATGGCAAACTGCCATGTGATTCTACCATTACAATCAATACAACCGTTCTGTCATAGACAGTCGTTAACAGCATTTCAACCACCATTTAATGATGGCGGGAGACACAATGACACAAACATGCATGTGGCCAACAAACCTGATATCCCCAGGAAGCTCTTGTGATGTCAACTACGCTCTGTAAAGTCACATCTATTTATAGACTGTCATCACAGGCACTGAGTCTTGCCATGTCCGAGATGCTGAGCAGACAAGGTGATCTGACCTCACGCTCTCAGACTCAACAGTCTTCCATGAAATAAAACACTGCCTGAATCTCCCCTGTATCTAGAATGACCACTTGACTGCCAATTTTAAATGACATTTGTGACTGCTATCCCATCCTTGCTCCCTAAAACTCAGTTTCTGGAGCCAAATTAGTCATGAGCTATAGTCTGTTCTAGAAAAGCGATGAGGGTGCACGGCTGAGAAAATCAATAACTGCCTGGTTACAGTTGTCAGGATGACACAGGAGACAGGGAATCTATCTCAGCTCTGACCAGCTCATCAACAGGATCGATTACCTTAACTTGTAACAATACAATAAAACACACTCAATCACCACAGCTTGACAAAAACATTAGGGTTTTCGGAAGGATCTATAGACTTGCTCCCAATAGTATAGGGACTGTGTGACCCTTTTGCCTACTTGCTTATTCAGAGTTTTGCTGAATCAGCAGAATATCATGTGTTTTGTGCCAAGAATTACCATTTCTTTACAATCTCCCTTATGGCATGTGGTTTGACAGGTTTGAACTTTGTAGCTTCCTTGGGAGACATTAATATTTAATTTATTCCAGATATTTAATTTCAAATCAAGGCATGTTAAAAGAAATTATTGATCCCTGTAATTTGTTGAAATGAATTTCATTATGATTGCATGAAATAATAACTTCCTTCTTTATATGAATTTGTAACATTCACTAACAATAGAGAGTAGTTATTAATAAAAAAGCAGAGAATGTTTTTTACCAGTAGGACCAACAGGTCAGTGTTAAAGTGTAGATATTTCTGGTTTCATAGCAATAAAACATTGCTGTGAGAAACAAGCCTACAGTTGCCTCACACTGCTGCTTAGTTCAAATCATTGTTCATCGATAAAAGTCTTACCAAACATAATTCTTATACCTTAGAATACCTCATATTGGCACGAACAGCATAGTCCATTTCATAGTTTCATATCAAAATATTATCAAAAAGAAAACCTGGAAAAGAAATGCCTAAGGGTGTGAAAACTATAGAAGTGAGTACTCAAGGATGTATCTTTACTGAGCCCAGAGGTTCTATTCATCATGAAACCCAACAATCACCAGTCCCCCTCAAGTGTCCACCTCAACCAGTTTTCTGGGGTTTAATAGTGAGTGAGTGAGACAGTTGGGTTTAACGCCGCTTTTAACAGTATTCCAGTTATATCGCAGCATGTCAGCTTAATGTGGGAGGAAAGCCCGAAGTGTTGCAGGTCTCAGACTTACGAGCACGGGTATGGTGCTGAGAAACCTAGAAACATAATCGATCTCACAATCATAGGTTTCTGGCATGCCCAAGGGACGCAACTCTGCACAGAGAATCGCGGCACCTTAGACGACTGGGCCATCCATGCCCCCTGAGGTTTAATAAACCAAGTCACAACATCTACCCCTGCAGGGTGAATCTGTAAAGAGAGCATCGTTACTGACTCCTACATAAAGATGCCAAACTAGCCACCAAGTGAGTGGTCATTGTGTTCAATTATTCTGTATCAACATAACTGAAGAGGTGCAGAGTGAGTGAGTGAGTTTGGTATAACGCCACAAGTGTCAGAAGAATATGAGTGGAAAGTCCAAACAAATGCAGATTATATACACTCAGCACATAGGTGAAACCCACATGGACCAAGGGATTGAAACCCACATGGACCAAGGGATTGAAACCCACATGGACCAAGGGATTGAAACCCACATGGACCAAGGGATTGAAACCCACATGGACCAAGGGTTTGAAACCCACATGGACCAAGGGATTGAAACCATCATGTCCAAGGGATTGAAACCCACATGGACCAAGGGATTGTAACCCACATGGACCAAGGGATTGAAACCCACATGGACCAAGGGATTGAAACCAACATGGACCAAGTGATTGAAACCAACGTGGACCAATGGATTGAAACCCACGTGGACCAAGGGATTGAAACCAACATGGACTAAGGGATTGAAACCAACATGGACCAAGGGTTTGAAACCAACATGGACCAAGGGATTGAAACCCACATGGACCAAGGGATTGAAACCAACATGGACCAAGGGTTTGAAACCCACATGGACCAAGGGATTGAAACCCACATGGACCAAGGGATTGAAACCAACATGGACCAAGGGATTGAAACCAACGTGGACCAAGGGATTGAAACCCACATGGACCAAGGGATTGAAATCCACATGGACCAAGGGATTGAAACCCACATGGACCAAGGGATTGAAACCCACATGGACCAAGGGATTGAAATCCACATGAACCAAGGGATTGAAACCCACATGGACCAAGGGATTGAAACCAACATGGACCAAGGGATTGAAACCCACATGGACCAAGGGATTGAAATCCACATGGACCAAGGGATTGAAACCCACATGGACCAAGGGATTGAAACCCACATGGACCAAGGGATTGAAACCCACGTGGACCAAGGGATTGAAACCCACTTTTAAAAGATAAGCAGAAGAAGAGATGCACAGAGAGACGTTCCCCACAGTAATCAAGCTCTGTGTGCTGTATGTGCTCATGACCTACACTTCAAACAGGCCACTGCATTTCCTGATCAGTTGATAACAAAGCAACAAAGACTTCTCGTGTATTTCTCATTCTCATCGTCTTACCGATATACCTACTATTACACAAAAAATCAAATTCATCTTTAGTTATTATTTGTGAATGAAATGAATCAAAACAGACAATCGAGATAGACCTTGTTTGGATGAATAATTTCATCTGCTACCTTACAACAAAATACAGGTGAAAAGGATGCTGAGTGAACACCCTCGGCAGTAAAACCCACTGAAGATATCTAGGTTCCCCTGTCCCTTGGAATTAAACCAGAGGACACATCAGCGATAATCCACAACATGAAAGCACAATAAGATCTCAAAGAGCCCTTTAAAATATTCTCAGTCTCCACCTGTTGATCAAACCTGCAGATACCATTTGCTGGTATGTAAAGCATTTACAGATTTCTTATCAGTGATTGTAATGTTGGGAGATTTAATGGTTGATTTATATTTTGGTGTTACAATATAGCAATACATATTTTATTATTAGTGGTATGCGAAGACGAGTTATTTCCCTATTAACGGAAGTGGGGAAGAGCACATGTTATGATTTGAAGTGAGTTGAGTTGCGGTGAAATGTGCGGGATTTGCCAAAACGATTGTGTTACACATTGAATTTGTCAAGTGAAAGTGTATGTTTGCAACAATGTGTTATGCTTGTCTGAATCCTAACAATGTTTTTTACGTGGCCAACGATCATGGGTCTCAGTAATAAATCCATCAAAAATCATGAAGTGTTGCGTCTCATGGCTACATCACGAAGAGCATGGAACATCAACCCGATATGTGGAATAAGCTAAAACCACCAAATCAAGAACCGTTACAGTGATTATGTATAAAGTACAACACCCACAAACAGCAGAATAAATCTCAAAGACTCCCTATAAATCCCATGTCCTCAACTGGACATTAAGCAACAGATATGCATATGGTTGTGGAGCATGTACAACTGCACATGTATCAGTGATTGTCATTGAAGGTCATTGATGGAAAAACCATCCCCTCAACAGCCCCCTTAAGGCACACAAACTCTCCTGGATGGAAAAACCATCTCAAACAGCCCCCTTAAGGCACACATACTCTCCTGGATGGAAAAACCATCTCAAACAGCCCCCTTAAGGCACACATACTCTCCTGGATGGAAAAACCATCTCAAACAGCCCCCTTAAGGCACACATACTCTCCTGGAGATTCCACCAGCAGTCATGGTCAGTAATACACATGTTCATTACTTCATTCATATCACTGATTATACATGAAAGAATGTGCACTGCAAGCAGAATAAACATCTCAAACAGTCCCCTTAATAATAATAATTCCGACTCTATCATGAGCATGTGTTTATGAATCACTACCAAAGACACACAACCTCTCCTGGAGAATACACCAGCAGTCATGGCAAATAATACACACTTCAGTTATGTGATTATACAAAAAACGATTATGCAAGCAGAACAAACATTTCCAAGAGCTCCTTCTCACCTGGTGGCAGCTGATGTCGAGATCCACTCCTAGGTATCCGTGTAACGGCGTAATCCAGGTAGTCGGCGTTTTTACGGGAGTAGCACATACACGGAGCATCATGCACGGGGTCGCTGTGACCCGCATGTTCACACGATGAGTGATGGGATCCGTCCCCATTAGATGGGTACTCGTATCCATTGTTTGTCATACTGCCATCAGCCTGGTCACCAGCGTCGGCGAAGACAGACGCCACGTGGGGATGATGCCGCCCCTGACGTAGCCTCTTCCTGGGCCAGGTGTTGGATCCAAGGCCAGGATTGCCGCCTTCTTCTGCTTCCTTCTTCCCAAAACTGCGATGCATATCCACGAAATTCGGCTCGGCTGTTTGATGAACACATGTGTGCTGGATCTGCTGCTCGGCTATACAGCCCTGAAACAACAAACAGAAAAACAACGTATCAACTGTTGTTTACATCATCTACCAACAACAAACAACCATCTTCACATCTCAAAAGTCCAACTGGAATATATGCATCAAAGTATGCTCCAACATCAAGGAAAACTAGAACAGGGTCCTCAAAAACATTCTCTTCAAAGAACTGTCAAATTATGTCGAAGTAGAATGGACTTAAGTATATACTTTGAGTTATGCCAGGTTCGAGACAACCAAAAATGACGAATGAAGAATGAATACACAGTAACCAGGATTTTACTTCGAGACAACGGTAAGTTTAGCTCGACACATCAAAGTTCGACACAATGGTGTCTGACTGTATCTATCATTTTCTTCACAAGGCAATCTCATCAAAATATTAGAGGGCTACAGGGTAGCCTAGTGTCGAAAGTGTTCGCTTGTCACACCGAAGGCCCAGGTTCAGTTCCATGTTTACAATGTGTGAAGCACATATTGGTGTTCCTAAATGTGATATTCTAGAATATTGCTAAAAGAGGTATAAAACCATACTCACTCACTCACTAAAATATGACTTACTTCTACTGTCAACAGTTCCCACTATGCTATCACAGCCATATTGATCCTATTCTTGTATAACTGTGTCAAATGTCCTAGTTAGTTCAGAGCACGATCAAGCTAAGGTATGCTGCTCTACCAGTTTACAATTAATCTTGGCACTGATTAGCCTAACGAATGAATGTAATCAGGGCCTGGCTCTCATATCAACAGGAATATTTTCTTATCAGAGAGCAGAGTAATTAATAGCCTGAACCACTCAGCAAGTAACAGGTGTCAAGCTTGTTCTCAGACTCTGGTCAAAAGCCTCTCATTAAACGCTCTCAGGTAAATCAGTGTAAATTGTAAACAAACCTTAAATAAACTCTAAAAGAAATCTTGAAGGGATTATTTTCCCCGAAGGTTATTCATATCAATTCCACATGAAAGAAACAAAACGTAACTGTGAATAAACAACATACTTACATAATCGTAAGAGTGAATGAGTGAGTGAGTTGGGTTTAACGCCGCTTTTAACAGTATTCCAGTTATATCACGGCGTGTCAGCTTAATGTGGGAGGAAAGCCCAAAGTGATGCAGGTCGATGGTGTTTGTGCTGACAAACCTAGAAACATAATCGGGGCGAACCGGGATTCGAACCCACAATCATAGCATAATCGTAAGAACTAACTTCAGTACCTTTTGTATTTATATTAATGTAAAAACTGGTGTGCATACAGTGTCAAGCCTCCCTGTCTGACAGTCTTGGTTCATATGTCAAGATGCAAGAGTTAGAACTAGTACAGGGCTGATATGAGGCTAAGTTCCATTAAATGAAAAAAATAAAGAAAAGAAAAAAAGACATTTTTAAAAATTTCATTTTACTTTTTTCAATATATTTTTTATCTCAACAGTAAAAATTGATCTGAAATAATTTGATGAATATACTTTTATCCAAATACAAACTATATTTTTATCTAATACAGACTCAGTGCTTCTTGATCACAAAATCACAATTACTACTGAGTGATCGATCTTTTTTCTTAGCCATCATGTGAGCTTTCTTCTATCCTGCACGGCAGCAGGGGGAACATAGTGCATGTTGCACATTAACGACCAGCATGTATAAATAGTTACCGTCAACGAAGGTAACAGAAATGAGTGAGTGAGTGAGTGAGTGAGAATGTGAGTGAGTGAGTGAGAATGTGAGTGAGTGAGTGAGTGAGTGAGTGAGTGAGTGAGTGAGTGGAGCCACTTTTGGCTCCATTCCAGCCAACTGAGCTTCACACATTATGATGCTTAACCCACTGGGCTAGCACACCCTGACTGACACAAAGGGAACAGTGGCAAGTGAGGACTTGGAAACATAACGAAAACATAATCAAGGCAAGCTAAAACACACAGCCTGCCGATTTGAACTGCCTGCTCCTAAATGTCGAACCTTAATGTAAAGGAAGTTAAAGAATACCTGATTTTTTCATATGTCAAAACAGAGTAACTATAGTCCTCTGAAAAAATTGGGTGTTCTTCTGTCATGACAACTGGATGCTCTTTTCTTCTTTTAAGTAACATAGTTCATTTACTGATGAAGCACATTTCATTAATGCACAAATGATTATAAAAAATGAAAAATACCATTCACTTGAGGAAATATACAGATTTTAAAATGATCTAAGAAAGCATTCAGATGTTACCTTCGTTTGGTATAATGAAATAAACTTTCTCGTCACAAGCATGCTGACAATTAAAAAAATATAACCATCCACCAAAGTGAAAATAACTGCATGCCAGACAGCAAATGAAGTTGAAACCAGACCCAAAAACAGCCAATAAAGAGGATAAAATTCCCATGAACAGAAACACAGAAAACAGGCGACAAAGCGGGGATGGTACAACATGAGTTACCTACCCTTGTAACCTGATTGAAAACCATCTGGCTTCTACGTCTTATCACCTAGGTTCAGAATAAAATAGTCGCATCAAATGGAAGTTACACGATCTAATTACTTTGATTCATTGGACCGTGAAACTGGCTGCATCATTTCACTTCATATCCTGAAAGTTGTACTACCATGCAGACCATACCGTAATGTTCTGGTTCACAAAGACGTTCCCAAGAAACTGAGTTTCAGAGTAACTGATAAGTGTTTACAGGTATGCTCTCGATGTCATGGATGTTACATAAACATTCCCGGGCACACAGTCAGGGTGTGAATAATCTTACAGTTTCCACGTTGGTTCCAACATGAATCACGTCGTGTCATTTCATCAACTATGTAGACCCCATCAGTGGCCTTAGCAACTGGCAATTACACATACAGCCTTTGTCATCATCTGTTTAGCAATCAATAATTCACTAATGCTGTTTTCACCTGGAGCTGTGACAGTTTCACACATAATGATTATTGATTACACATAATCCTAGACCAGTCTCTTACGCTCCAATCCAACTCGTGAAACATTATTTCATTAACACACATTAACCCATAAAAGACATTCCTATACATCAATGTCATGCCAATCAGCCTCCCCCGAAACATTCATTACTGTTGCAAGAACTTGAACACAGCAGTGCCATGTCTGAATAATCAATACAGGTTTCCTCTCAACACATCACACTGCCCAGTTGACAAATTACACAAGGTAATAAACGTTGTTGTTAAAGCAATGATACGAGATGCAGCGGGTACTTTGCCTAATGATGCATTCACCTGAGACACACCTCTGAGACAAGGATTTACGATGTGTCTCTGACTCTACGATGGTGTACACTGATCTTGATGTGTCTCTGACTCTCCGGTGGTGTACACTGACTACGATGTGTCTGACTCTACGATGGTGTACACTGACTACGATGTGTCTCTGACTCTACGATGGTGTATACTGACTACGATGTGTCTCTGACTCTACGTTGGTGTACACTGACTAAGATGTGTCTCTGACTCTACGATGGTGTACACTGACTATGATGTGTCTCTGACTCTACGATGGTGTACACTGACTACGATGTGTCTGACTCTACGATGGTGTACACTGACTACGATATGTCTCTGACTCTACGATGGTGTACACTGACTACGATGTGTCTCTGACTCTACGATGGTATACACTGACTACGATGTGTCTCTGACTCTACGATGTGTACACTGACTATGATGTGTCTCTGACTCTACGATAGTGTACACTGACTATGATGTCTCTGACTCTACGATGGTGTACACTGACTACGATGTGTCTCTGACTATGGATGGTGTACACTGACTGAATGTGTCTCTGATTCTATGATGGTGTACACTGACTGAATGTGTCTCTGATTCTACGATGGTGTACACTGACTATGATGTGTCTCCGACTCTATGATGGTGTACACTGACTGAATGTGTCTCTGATTCTACGTGCTGGAAAGACTTACGTTGGGATATGGGGGAAAGTCTAACCCGTGCTTGTGCATTACACCAAGATGGTAAAAGTCTGAGACCTGCATCACTTTGGGACTTCCTCACACATTCACCCAACACATCGGGATATAACAGTATATACTGTTCAAAGTGGCATTAAACCTAACTCACTCACTCATTATTACTTGTAAGCAGCAAGTATATTAGATAAGCTGGTCAAGCTTGATAACTAGCTTGGTTGCATCTGCCAGGGATGTTGCTCATAATATCAACCACAGGTTCGTCTGGCGAGCATTCAATTATTCACAGGCTGCCACGATACAGCTGGAGTATTGTGGAACACAGCACAACCAATTAGATTTACAAACAAAAAAAGAAGGTGTTCAGACATTACTGACGTGAGTAACGTTGTTGATGTTCCGATGCCCCGTGACTAAGACTGCAGCTGTCTCCTACACTGAGCACATGACACCTACTTCATTATTTGAGTCATAGACATTTATTACACAGATCAGATGTCTCAACTTATAACATTCCAGAAAACACATGTTGCATCATTGCACTGTTTATTACAACATCCTCGTCATGATATGGCTGAAATATTGCCGATGTGATATTAAATTTCAACTTAATTGTTAAACATCGTGACATCATTAAAAACAACATTGTTTTCATCTAACTGCATAAAAGTGTTATAAAAAACCTGAAAATTTATCATTACAAATACAAATAAGTTTAATAATACCTTAACTATCTACAAACTCTATAAACCAGTAAGCTAACTGAACCTTTCCTCGAACATTATTTGTGGCCATTAATTCTCTTGTACACCTGTCTCCATTTGCTCCTCAAAAATATTATTAAGGCTTGCTTCCCCATTCCAAGAGTTTACAGTAACAGTCTACCCATGGAAACTGGGTTAGGTTACATCTCATTAAGACGTTGCCCCTTCACAGGGCATATAGACAAAACACGGCCCAAGTTTGTTCGCAAACATTGCCACTGACCAACTTCTTCAGCTCCATGTATACACTCAATACAAGCATTTGCATATGCAAATAGGCATAGGTCAAATGTCATGTCTGTTCAATTTATCTTTAACCTCAGTGTAAAACCTCAAAGAAAAAGTATTGACACTTTCTTTAACTGATGGGATTCTTGTAGAATCAGGGATTATTGGAACCTTCTTAGTTTGGTTTGGAGATACGTTTTTTGTAAATAAAGTCCATAGAACAATAAAAAGATCTCATAACTCTCCTGAGCTGTAAACTTTCTCATATTTCCATACTTAACTTATAACGATATCCAAATATAGTTAATAAAAGTTGATCTTCACCGGAGACTGATCAACTCACTAATGGCCTGGAAGATATACAATAAATAACATAGCAGTGTTATTGAAAGACAAATTTGTTTGTTTGTAACGCTGCACTCCGCAATATTCAAGCCATATGACTGTGGTCTGTAAATCATCAAGTCTGGACCACACAATCCAGTGATTGACATAATGAGCATCGATCTATGCAATTTGGATATGATGACATGCATCAACCAAGTCAGAGAGTCTGACCCCCCAATCCCGTTAGTCGCTTCTTATGACCAATCAAACCCGGATATTCACGGGTGTGTTCTTCATCCTGTATTCACCATCAATGTCAGCAGTATCTGCATGTATGCATTCTTATGCACAAGTGATGTGACACTTTGTATACAAGGAAGCTGAAAAAGTGCAATGAACAGAAACTTCAGCAGAAGCACAACACTTGCCATAGACTTGAGGTGAAATGGGGTTTAACGTCGCATTCAAGATTACTGCACTTATATAGCGACGTGCATGCACGTGTGTGTGGGTGTAGCTGCTTGTTTTAGTCCAGACTAATGCCGATTTTATAGTGCTAGCCCATTGAGACACCATGCAGCATTTCAACATGAATACCCCACTCAGACACAGTATGCTGACTCCGAGCCGACCAGTCCTTGTTTTAGCTCCTTAATGCCGAGTGTCAGACAGTGTAACAACAACTACAATGTTTTTTTAATTTTTTGGTATGACGCAGCTGGTGATTGAACCCCGGACCTTCCGCCCTCCGGGCAGGTGCTCTCACTCTAGACAATGACTTGATATTGACAGTGTGGGTGGAGTGATGGAAACCTTGTTACTTTTTTACTTAGACATTTAAGAGTGCAGGTATGCTTGAAGTGAAGTTGTCTATGCTTGATCTGCATTGAAATTTTGTAAAGTGAAAATAAAAGGTTGTATCCATTGCTTTTCATTACAAAATTACCTACAGGAAGAGCAGTTGAAGGAGATTTCACTAGCCAAATTGACTACCAATTCATCAGGCAAATTACTAGCCTGGAACTTCCGGACAGAGGTGAAGGCTGTACTGGCGTGACCTAATTCATCTAAGAAAAGAGTCATTGGTTCCTTCCTGCGGACTTCCTTGCCCCAACAATGTCATGTATCACACGCAGGAAACATAGCATCATCGATGTAAGCGTGGCCCTCGTACCCTGAATGCTGTGTAGACAGAGCTGGGCAGTAGCAGACTAGATGATGCGTGGAGTGATAGGTTTGACATCCTAAGTTGGGTGTCACTTGTGTTACCCCCATTACAGTCTGAACAACCCCCCCCCGACCCCCACATGAAACGGATATTCTGTGTGATGATGTTATGCCCACTTAGTCTGGTAATGGCTAAAGACCTTACCGAAATTACAGTGGCAGGTGACTGAAAATATCAACCTACCAACATCATAGGAATGCTTGTCAAATACAAGCTTTAATATAACTGATTTACTACATATATGTAAACAGAAATTAAAGTTACATATCGACAGATATTTAAAAAAATTAGTGAATATTGTCTGTAAATTTAAAAATACCAATTAGAACATAATAAGTCAACTAAAGTGTTGACACTGCCTGAATCACCATCCAAGCCTGAGCTCTACCGACAGATTTGCATGGCTTTCCTTACAACTCTAGGCCAAACAGAGTTATCTCCCCTTATCCTTCATACTTCACTCCATGCACACACAGACAAGAAGTACAGGAACACCATTGTACACATTTAATGAATCATATAACACATTATTATTTTAAATGGATGAAACACAATTATTGTGCTATATCAATATTTCATGCCCCATTACCAAAACTTTAAACAGAATCAGATGTTTTGATCAATCTGATTTCTACGGAACACAATGGTAAAACAATCACCCAGAACTGCTGAGAAAACTGTTCATGAACTACTGTATTTCATGTATTAAGTGCCATAGGCTCATGAAGGGTTTTTACAAGGGCTCGGGCTTATTGAAGACTATACTCCCCTCGTGGTAACTAAGGTAAACTTCTGAACACTATGTTACAACATAAAAAGGGAATCTGAATACATCTCATCTAACAAAAACAAATGAAATCTTGTTTTCAAAATGTGGAGGATGTTATAGGAGCAGGACACTATTAATACAGCAAATACTGTAAGCATAGATAAAAATGAAAATGACTTTTGTTCAGACTCACCTCACATTCTGCCATGTCAAAATGTGTCCCTCCCTCGCGGGCCGCCCACCCAGGTAGCGTCTCTGTGGGGTGGTGGTGCGTGTGCCCGGGGTGGTTGTGGGGGACATGGCTACCCTTCTCCACATGGTACACCATGGTATGTGAGACAATGGTCAAGGAACTCAACACACTGGACTATGCTACATCAACCGATAACTCAACACATACATCAAGTATATTCTGCTAAAGGATGGTGCTCCATAGCTTGGTACAAATCTGGATCTGGATGATGGGTTAGTGGATTGTGTGAAACTAAAAGATGGTCTGTGTATTTAGCATTATCATTAGATTGATATACATAATATGATCTTATTGAACGACACTTGCTGGCCACGGGGCTGCCAATAAGGCGAGGTTTATCACTCTGTCACTGCCAAGTCAAACAGGTCAGGGGTCACCATGTCATGAGTCCAGATCTACCGACTTGAGATCGCTGATCTGTCACCTCCCTATCCTGCTCCTTGCATACCTGAAGTGGTAAATGTCTACAACCTTTCCTTCCAGTCAGCCACAGAGCGAAACAGGTTGTTCAAACCAGTGTGCCCAAACTCACGCACAATGTTTGAAATTTAAATTACGCCTACCTATGCCTCGTATAACCCTAGACTAGGGTTATTCTACCGAAGATAGGACCAGCTCCGCCAAAGACTGGCATCACTAACACTGCCTGTTATTCTTAAACATGATTTTTTTTTTCAATTATGGAAATGCAGCATAAAAGCCATGTAATTGTTGTGGACGTAAATGAAAGCACTCATGCTTGCACAAGTGACTGGCTCAGGTGACTGGCTCAGGTAACTGCAACACTTCCACAGGTGTGTCAAATAAATCAAACTCAGGACTTTGAATGGAATAATACACATGTTGTCCAATGCCCTGCAACTGTTTCAGCAGCTGATTAACGATTATACAGGTGTGCTAAACCCAGACAGGTGAGAAAGGTAAAACTCAGGTCATGAATCAACGAGACTTACACACCCTGACACCTCATGACTGGGGGATTTGTGAGCTTATAATGAAATAATCCACACAATACTGATGGTCGCTGTACTACATCCAGTTCAATATACACATGAGCCAAGCTCTACCTGGCACAGTACCACGTTTTTTCACAGGTAATCTGTCTGCTGCTGGTCAAACTGACCCTTGTTCACCAGGACTGAGTGAGTATGGTTTAACGTCGCCTATAGCAATATTCCAGCAATATCATGGTGGGGGACACCAGAAAAAAACTTCACACATTGTACTTATGTCAGGAATCAAACCTGTGTCTTCGGCGTGACGGGTGAACGCTTTAACCACAAGGCTAACCCACACCCCTTGTTCATCAGGAACACTTTTGAACAGGACATAACTGCATCCAATGACTAGGACAGTATTAAAGGACATGGTGTTACACCATTAGTTTCCTTTGACATTCAGATTTTCATTTCTTGTAGGTAATTTCTATTCAAAGGAACAAGATTTGATTTCAAAGATCATGGTACTTTTTTTGGGATATTATGATGGAGAAATATTTCGCCTACATTCTCGTCTATGTAATAATGTTTTATATTCCTAAAATGTATGGGGGCGGTAAAGTTGCCTGGTGGTAAAGGCATTCGCTCGTCACGCCAAAAACCTCAGCTCGATTCCCCATATGGGTACAATGTGTGAAGCCCATTTCTGGTCTCCCCTGCTGTGATATTGTTCGAATATTGCAAATGGCAGCGTAAAACCATACTCACTAACTAAAATGTATGTTGATATTGATTGTTAAACAAACACTTAATTCCCTGACATTTGCCAGCAAAACTGGCATCAGGTAGAATCAACTCCAGCCATCACTGGACCAATGATGGGACAGCTCCCTTTCAACCATGTCCTGCATGTTTCGCTTCACTGTCTTATGCATTCGGTGGGGGGCATGGTGGCCCAGTCGTCTAAGGTGCCGCGATTCGCTGTGCAGAGTTGTGTCCCTTGGGCATGTCAGAAACCTATGATTGTAGGTTCGAATCCCGGTTTCCCCCCCATTTTGTTTCTAGGTTTGTCAGCACCATACCCGTGCTCGTGGGTTTCACCGAAGTGGTAAACGTCTCAGACCTGCATCACTTCAGGCTTTCCTCCCACATTAAGCTGACACGCCGTGATATAACTGGAATACTGTTAAAAGCGGCGTTATTCACTCACTCATGCATGACCAGTGAAGTGTGTCAGACACAGACTAAACACGGAGAGCAGGTGACAAAAGATGTCTTTTCCCCACAGCTAATCTGCCCTGCCCCTGTTATCACTGTCTCCGCTGTTTGGGTTGTCCCAGGCTGCTATTACTGTTATTCCCTACACAATAACACCTGGCCCCTCTGATGATTGTATACTCAGTGACAGATCCATCATAGGGGCTGAGCTCTCAAAGAGATAAATAGCTTTAGGAATACACAGTTATACTGTACGGCAAAAATTCCAAGGGGGCTTAACAAAATAAAAGGCTTGGCTTAGATGAGAGGAATGGGTAAAGAATTAGTATGAGTTTGTTGTATATTGCTGCACTATGTAAGTAATCGAGTCTGGACCAGATAACCCAGTGATTGATGTTATGAACAACAATCCACACTGTCAAGGTACGATGACACGCATTCAAGAAATCAATGATTCTCGCCACCTGATCGCCATTTATGACCAGCATAGGTTGCTGGGGAGCGATTCTAACCCAGAATCCCCACCAACCAGACAATTCCTGCTCAGAACAATTACTAGCCCAGATGTTATTTGTCAGAATGCCCATAATCTAGTTCCCATACATAAAGCCTCTCATATGATAAATTACACATATCATCTTGTAAGTACAAATATTTCAATAAATATGTATCCCAATATATCAACACATAATACTTCATTAAACTATCAGTATTTGATTTAACGTTCTCTGCAGGATCATGAGACTATGCTACTGATCTCACCACCTGTACTGGAGTTGTTTACATGGTCACATGCTTATCAACTGTTGTCTACATGCATCTATCACCACCATTCTCCAGACAAAGGATATCGAATCCGAGGCGTACGGAATCCATGTGGTTCAGAGTAACATATTCTTGTTCTGGAATCCGGCTCTCGTTCACGTATGTCTGAAACAAAGGAAGGAACGTTAACATACATCACGGAATCCCCTGTTCTCAACACACACCTGAAACAAACATCAGCCAACACAAGCCCACATACACAGGATAGCTGTGTGGAGCATCCCCTTGACAGAGGCCGGAATCTGGGTGGAGGAGGTTGGTGTGTACTCAACACTTAATACCTACACTCAGAGCTGGAGAGAGCCCACTGAAGGAGCTGATGCTATAAAGATTTTGAACCATCGTTCGGAATACCCCGTGTTAAAGTTTTTGAGGTAGCATTATTAGAAATCACATTCCGACTGTCGCTTCATGATCTGGTAAGCGACACCTTGATTGGTCGGATGAAAGGTCGTGCTGATGTGACCCCTAATGGAATGTCTTCAGATCTTTGTTTAGCCGTAGTGAGAACTAAGATCTGATTTTAAGGAGATTGTAAAAGGACCTTCACAGAGTTCCATGATAGATCAACTCGCAGTGGGCATAGTTTCCTCCCAAAGGGCACAGCTTTATCAGTGCCCTGTGTCACCCTTGTGGCACACTACATATCTATTCCTGCTGTAGAATCTCATTTCCTCCAACCAGAAGAACTTGTTTGTTTATTTGTTGTTTAATGCTACTCAGCAATATTCCAGCTATATGACAACGGTCTGGAAATTACCCAGTCTGGACCAGACAATCCAGTGATTAACATCATGAGCATTAATCTATGCAAATGGGATCAATTCTAACCTGGACATTCACTGGTTAGTTCCACATACTGAGACAGTCAAGAAAATTATGTTTCTATACACATGTACTGATTCGGTTTGAACCAGGAAGGTGATGCATTCATTAACCTGCCGGTTGTCAGACCTGTTTAGAAAGATCCCAACGTCACTGTTTACCCCCAAGTACTACACTTGTCAGAGTTGTTATAGCTCCTGATTCGGTGCCTTCAACAGAATTTAATTCTACAAATTATGAGTCAAAGTTAATAAACAGCAACATACAAGTATCACGCTAGGCCATAACCCAATCTATTAAGTGCATAATATGTGTCCAATGCAGTTAAAATAGAAGGAAGTATGGTATATATTTAGACTAACATGCAGTCCCCAATATAACACTGATGTGTGTGGTTTAATATGATATGGATGGAATGCTGGAGCTGTGAAGGGGATGAGAATTGGATATGGATGTCTGTGTGATAAAATACATGCTGTAGGCCTGTAAGGGAGACTAGGTATATGTTATTCTACTGGGGTGACCCCAGGAGTACACACATGCCTTGTGCACCTCACATTACCACGGGAAGGACTTCATACAGTTTATAACAAAGCATTAAATGTGAACAAGGATATTTATTTATAACCACAATCCACACGTTTCTAACTAAACACCCATCCGTGCGTTAGTAGACTAAACAGAGAATTTCAACAGGACAGGCCCTCAGGAGTCACCCTGAAAACACCTTGTTGCTCACAGAGGCGTAACATAATAAACCCCACAACTGTTGGCGCTACCTCCTATACATGGACAAACTGGCATAAAACCACCATTTATGAGCCTCATCGAGTGCTACATAACCAGCATACACCCTAACACCCTTAAGGCGCAGTTAAACTAGGAACTGGCTTCCAAACAAGATCTTATACAATAAGCATATTCTACCTGTTAATATAGGATGATATTAATGAGTGTCATGTTATTTCACTGCAGCCTTGATCTATTTGTAATAATTTTCTGATAAGTCTATGGGACTTATCGGTAAAAGGATAGACAGTACAAAATGCATGTCTCTTTTATTAAACAATTGTTAATGACATGTCATATTTGGTCTAATAGTTCTGAAAATTCCCGATACTTCCTGAGTAACATCATACCTGCTTATACATAAAAAAAAAGATCATGACGATCAAGATATGTTTACCCTCAGGTAATAAATGTTAGTACTCACTGGCTTCACGCACAAGTCTGTGTTACATGATGGAACTATGTTACACTGACAGAACCAGCCTCGCTACACTGTTACTACTCCTCTATGGCCACTGAATAAGCAGTGAGGGTCAGTCCTGGCAGATCTCCCTGTCTAAGCCATGTAAACTAGAGATCACAGGGGGATGGTAGAAGGTAAACTCCACTAAATTGATTTGTAGGTTTGACTTGTAATGTCCACTTTGTTGTCACCTACCAGCTTCAGGCTGGTTCACAGCTGCAAACACAGGAGCTCACTATGTTCTTTTGTTTTTCTTTTATTTGACAAGATACGGTTCTTTCATTCTAAATTTTCCTTGATACTGTGTAGCATTGTAAGTAAGTGGCGAAGGTGAAACCAAACAAAATTGTCAAATCAGAATATGATGAGCTTTCCCTGACATCTAATTACAGAAACATTGGTAGGTAATGCTTCATTTTGATGGAAAAAACAACAACATAATTTTTTATTTTCTGCCTTACAAATTACAGTAACTTGCTCATGACAGTTAGTGAGAAGGAATCAGATAACTGGATAAATGACTCATTATCATATGGTATTTTCTGTTATCTGTTAATCAGTGATAGACTACTTTAGTGAATCCTGGGGCCAGAATGGTTACAAGGTCAGAGCTAATCTCATCAAGGCCTCCACAGTGCCAACAGCCTCGGCCTCATGTGTGAAAGGCCTGCTGTCACTAATCCATTGTTTGCCCACATTAAACACTGTTTATCAACCACAGACTCATTACAGTTCCTCGCTCTTCCTTTGACCGCCCTTGTATCTGTTGAATTGACCGGCATTAAGGTCCATCTACCAAGACAAACAAAAACTCAGGAACCCTGCTGGGGATTGATCTCTCTGATCTCCTTGACCGGAGCAAAACATGGGCGGGGTTGTCCAAAACAAACTCAGGGGGAATGTGAGGAAACTACTGTCTATGGTGGGACAAGACTTACATATAGCATGTTATACACAGCGATAGAAACTAACAGTTTTAGTCCATTGGTCCTTATAATGATAACATATTGCAAAACCCTTTAAAAGGCAAATTTCTACAAATCCTTATGATGCCTCAACTATTGGACAGTTTGGCAAGGAGTATAGGACTGGTGCCAGTTTCTAACACTGATGTATATCAGTGTTCCTTTAGTTGTGACCACCTCTAGTGGACAGAGAATGTGCCCAGATAGTGGAATGATGTGGTTTGATCCCCGGCAATGTTAAGAGATGGTAGTAATTGTTTCCTTGCCTGGTGCTCCGCATTAAGGGTTTAAATAAGGAATGGTCTGCTTGGATTCAGTATACTGTGTCTTAGTAGGGTATCTCTGTTAAAACTGTGGCATGGTATCTCAGTGGGCTAGCAGTATATAACTAGTACAAGCAGCCACACGCATCATGCGCACGCACATCGCTAAATATGGTATGGTGCTGACGCAGCCGATCATAAAATTTACTTGTGAAATAGGAATCAGTCAGCTTATTACAGCATATCATGTACCTATTGTGAGTGAGTGAGTTCATTTGTTGCTTAACGCCCCACTCAGCAATAATCCAGCCATATGATGGTGGTCTGTAAATAATCAAATCTGGACCAGACAATCCAGTGATTGACATCATGAGTATCGATCCATGCAGTTGGGATACGATGACATGCATCAACCAAGTCTGCGAACCTGACCACCCTATCATGTTGGTCACCTCTTACTACAGGCATGGGTGGGTGAGTGTCCTGCAATATCACAACGGGCAACACCAGATTTGTATTTCACACTGAGAACCCAAGAGGGGCATAGAACCCAGGTGTTCAGGGTCCCAAGCGAGGGTTCTAGGTTACCCCATAACCCTTTCGCTTGTAAGAAGGTATCAGGAACATCAGTTCATCACAGCAGACAGAGCACTGTAAGAGGGTAATGGTCTAAACAGCACCTCTGTAGGAGCTGTGTTGGCTGTTCATCAAGTCTTGATGGCACAAACACACACTGTTCAATCACCACGGACTGCACCCGTTTCCCTGCAACACAGGCCCATCAACTCACCATGTAATGTGATGGCCCTCCAGACAGTGATGGATGGCTTGGCTCCATGGACCAGTGTTATACAACCACACAGCCAAGGTACCACACTTGGCAGTCAATGGAAACAGGGAATCTGGCATTTCATGACAACATGCATTTCTCCTTGATTGTGCCAGGGGGAGTTGGTAAACTGAGGTACACTTTGAAGCATGGACCATGAGTAATTGGATCAACGATGCTGAGATTGTGGTGAAGGCTACATTATCTTAGTCATCTTGTGTTTGGACAGTGAGTGAGTGAGTGAGTGAGATGGGTTTAGTGCTGTGGTAGGTGATGAAGGCTACATCTTTATTAACTTGTGTTTGGAGAGTGAGTGAGTGAGATGGGTCTAGTGCTGTGGTAGGTGATGAAGGCTACATCTTCATCAACTTGTGTTTGGAGAGTGAGTGAGTGAGATGGGTTTAGTGCTGTAGTAGGTGATGAAGGCTACGTCTTTATTAACTTGTGTTTGGACAGTGAGTGAGCGAGATGGGTTTAGTGCTGTAGTAGGTGATGAAGGCTACATCTTTATCAACTTGTGTTTGGAGAGTGAGTGAGTGAGATGGGTTTAGTGCTGTAGTAGGTGATAAAGGCTACATCTTCATCAACTTGTGTTTGGAGAGTGAGTGAGTGAGATGGGTTTAGTGCTGTAGTAGGTGATGAAGGCTACATCTTTATCAACTTGTGTTTGGAGAGTGAGTGAGTGAGATGGGTTTAGTGCTGTAGTAGGTGATAAAGGCTACATCTTCATCAACTTGTGTTTGGAGAATGAGTGAGTGAGATGGGTTTAGTGCTGTAGTAGGTGATAAAGGCTACATCTTTATCAACTTGTGTTTGGAGAGTGAGTGAGTGAGATGGGTCTAGTGCTGTGGTAGGTGATGAAGGCTATGTCTTTATTAACTTGTGTTTGGAGAGTGAGTGAGTGAGTGAGTGAGTGAGTGGGTTAAGTGCTGTGGTAGGTGATGAAGGCTACATCTTTATTAACTTGTGTT